GGTGCCTGAGGGTAAACCCAAAGGGATTAGATGATGAAAGTAAAGACTACTTGTCCTTATATTTGCTTTTAGTCAGCTGCCCAAAAAGTGAAGTTCGAGCAAAATTCAAATTTTCCCTTCTGAATGCTAAAAGGGAAGAAACAAAAGCAATGGGTAAGTGATTTGCAAACTGAGTGAAGAAGTCTCTGTGTAACTATGTTATGTGACTTCTGCACTTTAACCAAGAAAATCAGTGAATATTTTTCCCCATGAAAATTTGCATAATGTAAAAAATTTAATTTGGGCAATATTTAATTCATTTTAAATGCGAACATAGATTTCACTTTATTAGTTGTGTTAATAATTCTTGGACTCCACAAGACTTGTAAAAATATAATGAAAATAATAAACCCCTTCATGCCCTAAAATGATATATTACTTAAGAAAAATAACTGCTGCTAGGGCAAGGTGCCTAGTTCAATGCTTGGCTTATAGGTGTCCAGAAGTATTTCTCTTCTTTGCTATTTTTGTCAGGTAATACAATCCAAATAGTTATGTGAAAGGAGATAGACCATCCAGCCATTTTGTTAATATAAATTTTCTTGAGCAGTGGACTAAGTAAGGAAAAACAGTCAGCTTCTCTTGCTCATACTTATTGCCAGTTACATCAGGACTGACGCTCTTTGGGTGTCTGAGGCATAGGAAGAGATTAGCCATCATTTTCCCAAAGAGCCACTGGTGGATTTGAGCCACAGAGAGACTCAGCCTTTGAGATAGCAGCACCATTACCTACAGGATATGCTATCAGATCTCCCTTGTCTTAGTCACAAGCCTGTTGAGTCCAAGATTCACATCATGTACGTGATAATATATATCGTGTATGCTCACTAAAATTATGTTAATTGGGACTTAATAGGAGTGCCCTGTAAGAAGTATAGAGTGTGGATAATAAAAAAGTAGTATAAATTGCCACTTCAGTTTTGCTTATGTTCTGGAAGTAAGTAACAAGTTATTTTTTTATCATAGCCTCCTTTATACACACATTTTGAAAATAATATACTTTATTGCCAAAGTAATACATATTTTCACATTGTCTCACATTTAAGATAATAAAATGCTTCATACTTAGACTTATTATTCTGTCTACTTCCATTTTATGATAATAAAAATGGATACTTTTTGTAGATTATTTAACTTGTTTCAGAATTACAGTTAAAGTGCTGATATGTCAATTATGTCTGATAGTAACATTATGGAACCTGTCCCTGTTCAGAATATAGTTATTCAGCATATTGAATATTTGTAGCGTTTAGTTATTTAAAAAAATCTTTTATGAAGTTAAACTAAAAGTATAATTTGTATTTTTGTAAAAAAAAAATAAAATCTGGGGAATTATATCTAAAGATGTAAGAGGGGACTGATTTTTAAGTTTTTCATCATGTAGTTGGCTTTTCTGTATTATTGAAACTTAAGTCAGGGGTACGTTTGGGTATCTCAGGAAAACCTAAAGGATACGTTAGTAATTTCAACCATTCATTTTAAAACTAGAAGAAGGAAATGAGAGAGTGTTAACAGAGTTCTCATGATAAGATGATGGCCAAGTTTACCTGTGCCAGTATTTTTTATCACATCTCCAGGACCTGTGTTGTTTAGAAAGATTTCTCCCCTTTCCATGAGATTTAGTGTGACTTTTTGTCTCCTTAAAGATCTAGAAATCTGAAATCAAGCTCATTGATGATGGCCAAAAATTGAGTAGCAACATGAAGATCTGGTTCTGTCTGACTTAATACTTACAGATGACTTTTCATCTATGAACATGCATATCTATAATATTTGGATTAGTAATGTTGTGTTGATCAAGTCTTACTTTTGGCATTTTATGCAATTGTATAAACCTTAAGAATTTTTTTAAAATCATTGTTTTATTTAAGCATTTCCTCTTTTTCCACCAGAAAGCCAAAGAGCATATCGATTTGTGCAAGGGAAGGACTGGGGTTTTAAAAAATTCATTAGAAGGGATTTTTTGCTTGATGAAGCGAATGGTCTATTACCAGATGACAAGCTTACGTTATTTTGTGAGGTAGGTATGTTTTTCACTTAAGGAACTCCATGATTATGTTTTGTGTTTTAGCAAAAGAATACACGGGAATAATGTGGGATATACCTTGGAAATTATTGATAATATTGATAATGTTTCACTTGTAAATGCTTGACTAGAAAAAAATTACTAAATTGTATTTTACAACTCAATGTAATAGTCCAACTTGATATTCTCTCATTGCCATTTAATAGGGAGCTGACTCATAGCTGAACCTTTTTTGAGCTGCTGAGGCTGGATATTTAATGGTGAATTAATGGTGGGCTAGCAGTACAAGACCCTACAGATTAGACCTCCAGAGCTCTCTAGTAGCATATTATGGAAAGAATCCCATTATATCCATAAGTAATAATTGACTTGCACAGCTGTTGTCTATGGTCATGTCAATTCTAAATCACAGTTTATAGGGCAGAATTGAGCTGCCTCTAGATTATCTAGTCTGTAGTCACCATAAGAGAGCTGCCAGATCTTTTCTCCTTCAGAGCAGCTGGTAGGTTCAAACCACCAGCCTTTTTGGTGAGTAACCAGTGTGCTTGACCACTGTGTTACCAAGGCTTCTGCGATTAATACTTTATCTTAGATCCTTCATCCTTTTGAAAAGATTATTAGTATTTCTGTTTATGAAAATTTTTAGATTTCTTCTCTTCTGAATAGTATATTCTCAATATTTTGTCATTCATATTGATCATACTGAAAATTATCACTCAAAGTTTACTAATTTCATTTCACACTTGACCAGAAATGAAAAGTGCCTGAAAAAGATTGGAGAAACTTTATGTTCCTTCAAGCAATTGGATTTATTTAATAAAATACTATACTAATATTCTGAGAAAAAGAAGGTGTTCTAATAGTGTAGTGGTTAAATACTGCTCGACTGTTAACAAGTGAATTAACAGTTTAAATCCACTAGCCGCTTCAGAGGAAAATGTTGTAACATTCTACTTCATTAAAGAATACTGCTTGGGCAGTTTTCTCTGTCCTTTAGATGCAGGATGAGTTAGAATCTCTACAAGGGTGGAGTTTTGTTTTTTATTCTCATTAAATTCCCCACATTTGTAAACTGCACTTTGTATGCTGTCAAATTGATGAGATACATTGAATTGCAAAAAGTGTCATATTTTGGAAGCTAGACATTGTTGTTGCTTTTATGTACTGTTGAGTCACCTGGGACTCAAAGTGACTCTTTGTACATCCGCCCTAAACCCTACTGTCCTGTGCTAGTCTTATTGTCTCTGACACACCTACCCCAGTTACCTCAGTCACTGAATCAATCCATCTCATCAAGGGTCATCTTTTCTTGTGCTGACAGCATTGCCTTATTAAGTGCTTTTCACTTAAGATTTTCCCTAATTTGTAATTTTCGTTTGCTTTTGTCATGAATTTCATGGAATAGTATCATCTTTAAATTTTATAAAAATTCACTAGATATAATCAAAAGAATTGTATTGTCAATACAGTTTATAGAGAATATACTAATATGAAATGCTGAGAGCAGTGGATATAACTCACTGTTAAATTTTAGTAAGTTATTTTGTCTTATAGGTGTGATAATTTACTTAACCGCTACTTTAGGTAGCTTTAATCTCTTTATAGGAAATGTGTCAAAATTTTCTGGCAAGATTACAACTTAATTGTATGTCATTATTTTGTGTCAGAATAGTAATTGAAATATAGCCCTAGAGATTACATAGTGCAAATAGAATGCATCTTATTTTCACTTAGACAAGTTAAATGAACTGTATGATGGATTTGTTATGAATACAATTATTTGGCTGATAAAGTACATACAAGTATCTTGAATTGGACTTATTAAGTAATCTGTGAGGAGAAAAAGCTGGGTTTTTTTTGCCTGTGGACATGCATTCAAAGTAGTATTCTAAATACTATTTAAATGTTTCTAGTATCTTTAATTTAGAAACTCTATAAAGTCTAGGTTATATTAAATTTCAAAGAGAGAATTTTTAGGAACAGTGTAATTTAGAATTTAAAGGACTTTTATAAAAATTTATTTTATATAAGTTTGTATACAGAATTTGTATACATTGTGTTTCACACTTTATTCACCTTTTAGAGATTGTTTTTAGTCTGATTTAAAGAAAGTAATGTAGCAAAAGATTTTTGTGAATGAACCTCTTTAGAAAACATTCCTTTTTTAAAGACTTAAATAGAGTTTACGTATATTTTTCTTAATGTGTATTATTGGAACCTAGACAACTAAGGATAAAGGCTGAAATTAAGTTGAAAAGAATTTAAAATATATTTTCAAAGTATGCTTAGTATCCTTATGATAGATTGCACATGCTAGTAGCCCCTAGTAAGAGACAAATAATTTTTTGAAGTTGAGGTTGATCAGTTTACATTTGGAATCCTTAAACATTCCTTTTCTTACTGCTTTAGTCATTTTTAATTTGGGCACCATATTTAGCATAGTTGGGCAAAAAGTACTTTTAACAAAAACCCCTCATGCCCTCCATCGTTTCTTCTGCCACTCTCATAGATGCCCTTCCTTCTGCAGCGCCTCCTGCACTGCTTGCAGAAGAGGAGGAAGCGTTGCACTGAACCTACCTAAAGAACTGCCTCCTCCCCCTCCCCTGCAAGTGGTGCTGTAGACAGGTAAGGCAGTTTGGTCCTACCCTTCCTGGACAAGACTTAGCTGCACCTTGCAAGTTCTGTATTGTTTCAGATGGCCAGAGCAAAACAGATTTCTAGCAATGTAAACTCCTCTGCACTGTCTTTTCACACAGTGAAGGAGAGAATAAGAGTTGAGTGAAAAGTAAGAAAAAAATCAGATTAATTTCTCTTTTGATATCTAGGATGAATTAATAACCTAATAATGTTTACTATCATAATTACTCTAGTAATAAAGAGCTCTCATCATTTACTCCCTAAGGAGTTGGGCTGCTAACCCAAAGGCTGCACCTCTCTGAAAGTCTCAATCCACCAGCATCTCCACTGGAGAAAGATAGGTGGCTTCCTGTTTAATTTACAGTAGCCTCAGAAACCCAGCTATGAGTCTGTTCCATGGTGGCAGTGAGTTGGGAGAGTTAACAATCTGCCTACACATAGAATTTTATGCTACATAGAAACAGTATACATACACAGATAAACTGTAGGTTGGATATTTTTGGTAAAGTTAAAGAAGTTAGTTCATTAAGGAATTTACTCCATCCCATTTTTCTTCTACTTGAACTAACCTTTTTACTTTAAAATATTTGTGATTGTGGATGATGCTTTTAAAAAGTCCTTTCTTGGTAAAATAAAAAGGTGATAACCCTCTTCCTGCTGTGAAATTTAAAAAAAAATCTGGAACCCACTGTTGGACAAAAGAATCAAGTTGAACTGTTAAAAACAAAAGAATCAAGTTGAACTGTTAAAAATTCCTCACTTTGCTCACTTAGTGTGGCAGGTAGGGTGGGAACAGGTTATGTAGCAGATTAGAATTTAAAAATTATAATACTATACAGTTTGGGGAATTTCCAACTTTCAGAACTAGCTTGAATTCAAATTATTAAAAATGAGAAAGTTAGTTCCACACTGGAGAAAACAGTTTAAAAAAAATTATGAAAGTAACCTCAGGAAGGATTGTCGGACTTCTTTTGGAATTTTTCGTTCAAGGTTCATTCAAGCAAAATGTTGGTTACCTTTATTTAACTACATAGTAGAGAAATGAATTTCTGACCTTAATGTGAAACACTTTTTCTTAATTGGGTCAGAAAAAATAATCTCCAGAATTTAGTATATATTTATTTTTAATGAGATCATTAATTTTTACTATAAATAGTCCTTTGCATATTTGACATGTTATTGTTGATTGTCATCGAGTCGAGCATGACTCATAGTGACCCTATGAACAAAAGACCTGAAGTCTTTCTATAACTATCATTTCTTTAAGTTCCTAGAGTTTCCAGAGGCATGTTGTTTAGGAAGGGGATGCAACTCCTTCTTCCATTTTATTTCCTTCATTTTTCATGTACAGTATACTTTGTGACAATTTCGGTCATGCATATTGTTGTTATTATGTACTGTCGAGTCTCCTGTGACCCATAGCAACCCTCTGTACAGCAGCTCTGAATATTGCCCTGTCCCTCCAAGCTTATGAGCATGATGTCCTTCTCCAAGGATCAGTCCCTCCTGTCCACATGCCCAAAGTGTCTCAGATGGAGCTTCAGAATTCTACCTTCCAAGGAGATACTTGGTTTCACCCTCTCCCAGACAGACTTACTTGTTTTCTTGCCAGTACGTGCTCCAGCACCACAATTGAAAGGCATCGATTCTTCTTCTGTCATCCATAGTCATTGTCCAGCTAGCTGATGCATAGCAAGTAGTTGTGTAGATCACTGCCTGGATTAGGCACACCTTAGTTTCTAGACTGACATCATTGCTTTTCAGCACTCTGGAGAGGTTCATGACAGCAGATTTTCCCAATTCATTTCCTCTTTTGATTTCTTCACTGCTGGTATTAAGAGTATTGATTATGGAGCCAAGCAAGCTATAATTGTTAACAACCTCAATCTCTTTTCCATCTGTCATGATGCTGCCAATTGTCCCAGTGCTGAGAATCTTTGTTTTCTTGATGGTAGGCTTTAATCCATATTGAAGACTACATCCTTGAGCACTTCAGGTCCTCTTGAGTTTCAGCAAACAGGGTTGTGTCATCTGCATAACGTAGGTTGTTAATGAGTCTACTTCCAATCCTGATGCCACATTTCTCCTCATAAAGCCCTGCTTCCCAAATGACCTGTTCTACATATAGCTTGAGAAGGTATGGAGACAATGTGCATCCCTGATGCCCTCCGTTCCTGATTTTGAACCATGCAGCATTTCCCTGCTCTGTTCTGAGGACTCCTTCCTGGTCCAAGTATATCGGTTTCACATAAGCTCAGTCAGGTTTTGTTGTATTCTTGTTTTCCTCAAGGTTAGCCACAATTTGGTGTGATTCACACAGTCAAATGCTTTTGCATAGTCAATGAAACACGGAGAGA